TAGTGGCCATTTTACAAACAACTGACTGAGAAACGTAAAGATGGTCGCTTGTACCATCTGTTGGCTGCAAAAGAGAACTTCCAGAGTTTCACTCTGATCTGCCGCAAACCGCATGTGGCTAGCTCAATTTGTTTGAGCGCCACAATTTTTCAAAACTCCCAAGGGACTTTGTGGACACACTGCAATATACAGTTATTATTAAATCATCTTCGCTATATATATGAGATATTTCTAAATATGTCTCATTATATACTACTTTTTAAGAAAAACTTTTAAAATATCCTTTAAGATTTTATGTAGGACCAGCATGCAATGCGAAATATGCCGCGGTGCATCAAAGTAAGAAATATATCTTACTGAAGCCATTATGGAAGGATTGTATTATCAGATCAATGTGATGGTGTCGACATTTTGAAGGCACGATCATGTCGCGGATACAGTTAAATAATATAGGGAATATTTTCGAGGGAGAGTCGGTTATTTTGACTTGAATAAAAAACAGCCAGTTATAGCACTCTGCCATTGCCATATCCCTCGGAGCCTAACTGGCTGTCTACTCTTCTTCAGCTACTTAACGCACTCTATGAACGTGCTTACAAACTACTTCACGCCATAGGATTACCCTCCAGCCAAGATTTTAGAATTACTTTGAGACGAATCTGTGGATGTATACCTACAGGCTTGTCATTCTGTAACGTTCTGTAAGTTCAGAGTTTCAGGATGATATGCAAGCTGACGAAATATAAATTGAGACCTTTCTGCGGTCCCATCGTTCACTGAAAATGATTTTCATTTTTCTGGTTAACATAGTGGACGAAAGAGCGCCATAGATTATATATTTATTCAGTAAACAGGGCAATTTCTGTTGCGTTCAAGTGAAGCACTGCCTATGAAGGGTTTCGTGACTACATCACAGACCTTGTTGGAAAATGGCTCACTATACAACAAAAATAATAATTACGAAAACGGACATCATTTTGTATAATGGTTGTCCTTAAATTTCACTGCAATGCTTTTTATGATCTGTCATTCTTCATTCAACTATTTCCTTACTTACGTGGCGCATTGCACCTTTAGGATTTCCCATGCAGCAACGAGCCTATACATTCTACGAATAAAATCAGTTTTTTTTTTCTGTTTATAATACAAATTTTATACGGGGGTTTATTGTTTCGTCTATTCATTCGCAATCCTGTGTGGCTGCATTTAACTGGCCGTTCGTCAAATGGGGTACATTCAACGGAGACATTAATTAAACAGAAGCTCGTAAGAATAGACAGTCAACATCTTGAAGTCAAGTAAATTAATGAAGATTAGTAAATCGGATAAACAGAATATAAGTTAACAATTTAATAATTCTGGATTAAGTGCTATGATTGGTTTCACTGTCGTAATAAGAAACTCAGTTAACTTACATTGAGCGTTGATGTTAGCATATTCCCAGAGCTCTTCTTGGAACCAGTGTCAGTCCACAGTTGCATCGATTTGTTTTTCATACACTCACCACACGTCTTATCATTGCCGAAGCAACTTCACAATACGATGATTCTGATTTCAGTATGAACTCACACATCTTCTACTGTCGCCACACTTTTCGCAGAACTAATGTCCGTCTACTCTCATTACATCCTAAACAAACCTACCGTGAACTAAACTCACTTGTAGGTCTTCTAAACCAAAACGACACTAATTTAATCTAACCTATACGGAAATTGTCGGAGATATACAAACCACATTTAGAAAAGAGAGAAAACAATTGGTATAGTGTTACTAACACAATCACTGTCGTAAAACATTGTGCATGGAGAACCCGCCACCGCAACGTGAAGTCATGTCTTATCTTGAAACCTGATATATCTGAGACGCTTTTCCAGTAGCTCCAGCAAAACACCCGCGCACTTCAGGCAAAGCAACAGGAACTGTGCACTTCGACTGTACGACTCGGACGGGCAGTAGTGGGGGTGTTAGCGTCTGGAGAGGCCAGCGGACGTTACGTCACTGTCACTATAAGTCATCGCGACTGGTATTGGTAACCGTGATCCAACCGATACGCTTCGCTTTTGGCACCGTGATTCCAAGCACGTAATTTTCTGTCTTGTGTAAAAAGAAACAGCTGAAATTATTATAGGAATTACAATTTGCCACCTTGGGATGGGCTCGAACCACCAGCTTTAGAGCTGAACACTCTAGCTGATTGCTCCACGAAAACACTCAACTATTAATTGCACAAGGTGCACGGAATGAATTCATGTAAATCTGGTCGTGTCTGCTTGTCAACTCGAGGACCGCTGGACAAATTTTGATGAAATGAAATATGGAAATTATGCCATTAAAAGCTACCCAGAACTCGTACCGTACATTATAATTTTCTGCAATAAGTAATACCAACATAACGGATGCGCGAACGTGTGAAGTTGGAGAGACTCTCAATACTGGATCCCGAAATTACGTATATGTGGTAACAGGACTTTGAAAAATATGCACTGTTGTTAAGATTTCTGTTGTTGTTGTTAAATTTAAGATAGCAAAATGACAGCTGCACAAAATCTATATTAACTTTCGGTTTGGTAACGATTGCTTAAGAACAGCTTGAGTTAAGCAAATAAATACTGACATTGTGACGCATATGCCCATTGCTAGGCAAGGGCTCGGCAAACACATTCCCGAGTTACCACGCAACAATAAAGGGACATCCATTGCGAGGAAACGGACACGTTTTCTGTGCTGTGGTCCGGCCCGAGGTTATACTATAACGAGAAGTCAACGATAACTGAGAGTTCAAATGGATGTCAGAATAGTTCCAGCGGTGTCCAGTCGGAAGATTATAGCATGCCAGATAGTGATTTGTGAACTACTGTAACAAGTTGTATAAGGATCCAATAAATTCGATCATCAAATCCAAAAGCCCTCTCATTAGTCACGCAATCCCTGGATACGTAACAATATGAAGGTAAATCATTCGCATGCCTACAAATCCTGTATTAAATGTGATTTCAAATGATTAAACCATGGTCACATTGCGTAGATAGTTAGTTAGTTATTGGAGAGGGTGGGTTTCCCCATGCACTGAGACCTGTATTGGTCCATTGTGCTTCCCTCTATGATTTCTGCCAGTCTCTATATCCTACCGGTACTGCTGCTTATCATCAGTCCCGCCCAGCCAGCGAGACCGGCTCTACTAGCTGAGCGGTATCTATAATGCTTCCCCCATCTACCAGAGGTATTAGTGACTGCTGTTGGGCGGGAAACGTCCGCAATTTTGGCTCAGTGACCTCCTTTGGAGGTATGAGGTTCTTTTAAGTGCCGTAAAGCTACGACACGGGACCCACGGCTTAAAGTCCCTCTCGGAGGACTTGTTCCCTGAATTTTTCCGCCCTTAAAAATTCCACGACCTCCGCCGGGTATTTGAACCCTGACGCTGATCATTCTTAGCCCTTATTTATTTGGATGTTTATAGATGAACGTGAAATTTATTTCTAATTAATTCTCGGTAATTTTAAATTTCAAAAGTCTTATGTTTCGATATTACTGAAATGTGTCGTGATCTATAATATCGTATTTCATCGTCTGGGACGTGTAATACGGTGTTTACGTTGAAAATTTCTAGATTCTGGCAGAAACAAGAAGTCCGGAGTTATGACATTTACGGTCAGTCATAAATTTAGCTCGGGTACAGGGAACCGGACGCGCCTAAAAGGACAGGTCAGAGCTTGTTACAATTGCCTGTGAATGAGGGTCAGTATGATTGGGTTGCCTCGTTCAAGCTTCCCACGGAAGATGGGATGAAATGTATATGAAAACACCATCTTTCGAATTCCCGGCGTGGGGGTGCAAGCCATTCCACAAAAGGGGAAACTTTCACAATATTCCGGACTGAACGGACGTGACCTTTGCACGCTCCGAGACATAGCTTGCCGATAGTAACGCTGTAACTTAAAGCTAAGAATACATTAATTTAACAGTGTGGTGAATTAGCAGGTGAATAAACGTCAATTGGCTCAACTCTCAGAAAACGCTTTCTTCGGCATCGCTACCCTGAGACTCATGCGAACCGACCCAGCTTGTTTCCCGTACCTATACCGATCTTCCTTAGTTTGATCTGTGAGGACAACTTCCAGTAGCCATCATACACTGTCCTAAGGTAGAAACAGGTGTAGCAGAGATAACACCATTCCTACTGCGCCGATACAAGTAAAGGCGGGTTGGAAAAGAGCGGTGTTAACCCGTGTACAACGAGTCATGAGGTGGGAACGTTACCTCTAGACTACGTAGGCCGCTTATCTCGTGCTAACTTTGTAATTGATTTTTGAGCTGTTAAGTTAGCACTAATGAATAAAAATTGAAGTGGAATTAATTGAATTATTATACGATTATACATTTTACCTATAAATCTAAGGGCATTAACACAATTACAAAGTTTGTTCCCCACCTTTACACCTGAGGAAGGAAATAGATTCATGTTACGGGAACTTTAGTTTTTTCAGAATACAGAGTAGATAGACGAAGTCAAGAAAATCAATAATTCCAATTTGTATATCGTTGTCAGAACCATTTAAAATGGTTAGATATGTTCACGACTTGTGACCGTACAAAGTTTCACATGTCTCCCTCCAATCATTCGCTGACTACTATCATCAAACCAAAAGCGACAATGGTGCAGTGTCGTTAAATCAGCTGTGAATCAAATAATTCTACGATTCTTTCATGAGTCCCTACTAACTTCAGAAGTTATGTATAATCGAACCCGCTTGTTTTATATTTCACTAAACGCGAAAATCTGGAAGTTGTAACACAAGAGAAGGTAAACATGCTGTAAAATCAATCTGTCAATATTGTGATGGTAACTGATTCTCGATAACATTGTTCCCCTACTTAAATATATGTGCTAAACAGCGTTGTTTCAATTTATACACTTTTTCCGACATTTCACGAAGGGGTGATAAATGATTTTGTAGCTTATTACTAAAGGAACCCTTCTTTTATTTCCACAACACATAGGATGCACACCATCGCGTTAACGCAATACATTCACATGTTCCTTGGAACTAAATTAAACATTGAATCTGTGAATGGGTTCACACGTTGCTGTCACACGCACATGCGAAGCAAAATTATGTGAGCCTATCAGAAATTAAGAAGACCTACAAAACAAATTCATCCACACAACGAAGCAGCCCAACCATCACAGATAGACACACACACATATCAGGAATAAGTTCTCTATCGGTCCTAGAACGAAATATTTGATTCCGTAATCAGTAGGAAAGCCGTAATGAGAGACAAGCCTACCTGCTAGTAATGGTCCAGCCTGAAAAATATAACCTATAAATTCCGCCATTTTAAGCCACATGAGGATTCATAACGACAGCCTTGGTGGTTTTACGCAGATCTCAAATTCCTCGCAATCACATACGAATTGCCAGGCAAAACGCTTGGTTACATGGGTTTCCCTAAGAAAGACAAGCTGAGCACAAAAACGTAAGACTACCTGAAGAAAAGACTAAAGTAGCCAATAATTCCTACGTTATTAGCTGATAAATTGACTTCCTAAGTAACATGAAAACCTTTACAAGTACCTATATGCATCATAAAAGTTGTAAAAATCCACAATAACAGAATGGATATAAAGCTCGACGCAATCTTAAAATCGTCGAAACGAAAGGTAAGCTTCATGCTCCAGTTAACACATAACTTCAGAAAAAAGCCCCTGTAGCTATTGGACACGGGTTGAGTTGTAGAGTTGTTCAGAACATAGTGCTGGAGAGAAGATACCCAACGTCCTTCAGTGAGATCTAACTCAATCTTTAACTTTATGCACCATCATTCTACAGAAAGGACTACTTCGCCCAAATTTAGAATCATACATTAATTAATTGTCAACAATGAGTTAAATTACTTAGAGTTTGCACTTTGCAAGAAATCACTAGAATTCATAACAAAGTGTAAATGGGTGACATGACACATGGACAGGTTCTTCTGTTTAAGTGAATGAAAAACAGATTGAAAGGCCTGTGCTAATATTTGAGACTCCCTAAACACTAAGATATGAACAAACAACCTAAAATTATTCAACATGAACATATTTGTTGAGTAACCCTTTGACTCCCAGTGGTTACTGTATGTACCACACAATTTAATATACGAAAGTTCTGCATTCTATCCACAGAGTGCATTTGTGCATTTCATATGGTTCTCTCAACAAACAGCAAGTTTTTCCCTAAACATCATTAACGGGTGGACCATTGTAGCGGAGACGAAATGTGTGAGTGTTTCCTACGAGGTGTGAATTGTATATTATTCAGAAGAAGATAAATCTGTAAATTGTTAAAAGGCTACACTAAAAATGCCTTAAAGTGAACGACTAAAACAGAAGCTCTTAGCGCGAATTTATAATTATTGTGTTTCTATAGTTTGTCTATGGTCTATAATGCGTTCTACTAAAATGTGCGGCCGAGGCGTGCATAAATGACATATTCTATAACTTGGAAGGAAGTAAAAGATACAGGAGGAGGCAAGGAAACGTGGAACATACAGTGATGCCAAACATAGCATTGCGAAACCAGACCTGTTCCCGCCAGCAGGCGAAAAGACGGGAAGATACCTGTTTCTTGGTTCATCACTGTCTTATTCGCTGGAGATGAACTCTGTAAAGGACACAACTGAGTAGATTCTTCCCACATTTTCACCTGCAGACTGAAACAAGTTCGCTTTTCGCATAGTTGCTTTCACTCAGACTATGGGAAAATCCAGCAGTCTTTAAGTATACTACGCCATCGTCAGGACCCGTTAGAACTAACCCTGTGAGAATGTTTCCTACACCAATAAAAGCATGCAAATTGCAATCCACGTCGATGGTGAAGCTCAAGGTTCCTTCATCTTCCTCAGGACAGCGTAGTAGGAGTATGCGCGTCGAAGAATCTGAAACACGAGCAGAAAATTGTGAAATGTGTAGCTACTGAAGTTTTCCTTCTGCATGTTCGTTAGGGCACTAGATCTGAAAGTAATTTGTTATGTAAAATACTTTATTTAACCTTCGTTATGGTAGCTAAAACGAAAATTAAAATTTCATACCGATGTTTTTCCTTGTCCAAGTGTATTTATGCTGTTCCACATTCAGCCATTTGTAGGTAAGCAAAGCAACATGTTTCAAGGAATGTGGCTGAAAATAAAATTCGTGTGCGGGAGCTGGGGTTCTCACAGCGGTAGTTACGAAGTGTTCTTTCTGCTGGGATATGACGTCATGCAGTCCGTTGAAAAGAAACTGATATTTCGGAGGAAGATGTCGCCTTCATCTTCAGGTTCGAAGAATGAGCCAAACAAGGAAACCAGCATGAAGCAGGTAGCAAGCTTCATGTTTGATATTGGTGTCTTGCTTGGCTTACTCTTCGACCCTGAAATTGAAGGCGATATATTCCTCCGAAATACCCGCTCTCTTTCAACGGACTGTATGGCGTTATATCCCAGAAGGGCCGCGCAATAACTCAAGCGGTTAATCGCTGGCTTCCCACCGCGGCGGCCCGGGTTCGATCCCGGGTCTAGTCAAGTTGGGTTTGTGGTAGACAAGTGGCGCTGGGGCAGGTTTTCTCCGAGTACTTCGGTTTCCCCTGCCAATCTACATTCCACCAATTGCTTCACAATCACCCTCACCTATCATCTGGGCCTGGTATAATAGGCTAGAAGTGGCCGCAGTACAAGAGACTTAGTCCCACTCAAGTAGCAATAAAAAAATAATATATCCCAGAATATAAATTATAGAATATGAAATCAAAAAGACACCCTAATGACATGAGCAAAGACTTTAATAAATGTAATGATATTCGACAAGATTCTCATGGCAGAAATATGGATGCTGTGCTTTGACCTCTCCCTGAGGAAGCAGTCTAAACACTTCACATCACTAGATGCTCTACTACTGCATATCATCGCAAATTATTGCCTAAAACTGAGCTACTTTTAGTCGACTATGAATAATTTATTTTTTGGGGAACAAGAGACTGAAGACACAGGCTTAGATGGTACGACAATGTCGAAGTGACGTTAAAGAAAATAGACTGTGAGGATGTGGTCTGAAGTAAGCAATTCTGGTTAGCGAGCAGCAGCGGGCTCTTCAGTACACTGTAATGATTTGCCGGACTGAATAAAAGGCTAGGAATTATTTGAATAGCTGAGAAACTGGTAAATTTCAAAGACTCTAGTTACTGAGTTAGGCCCTAACATGATTGTTAATACCTGTTTATCTCGCAAATCAAAGAAATCGTGTTCTGTGGCATATTTTTAGAACCTGTTTGTCTCTAAAGTCAATTAAGACATACTTAAAACCAGGCCGTGTCGTAGCTCAGGCGGTTATTCGCCGACTTCCGACCGCGGCTGCCCGGGTTCGAGCAGAGTTCAGGTCATGTTGGATTTGTGGTGGAAAAAATGTCACTGGGGTCAGTTTTCTCCGAGTAGTTCGGTTTTTCCTGCTTTCTTATTTCACCGACTGCTCCACACTCAACGTCTATCATCCGGGGCTGATACAATAGGCCATTTAGTGACCGAAGTACCAAGTGGACTCAGTTTCACCCCACTCCAAGAAACTAAAAATAAATTGTAAGATTTGAGGCTTTCACGGCGGTGACAATGTAGAAAGCAGTCTTCTGGGATTTGGCACCGTGTATATGTGGTGTTAACCGACGTTTCGGAGGAACGTATCGCCTCCATCTTCAGGGTAGAAGAAAAAATATATAAGAAATCTGCAAGCGGAGAGACCGTGAGAACCGGTAAAAGCAGTCTGCTTTTATCGGTTCTCACGGTCTCTCCGCTTGCAGATTTCTTATATATTTTTTCTTCTACCCTGAAGATGGAGGCGATACGTTCCTCCGAAACGTCGGTTAACACCACATATACACGGTGCCAAATCCCAGAAGACTGCTTTCTTCATAAAAATAAATTACTTAAAACCAGAACGGGTATCATAACCAGCTACAATTTCATGTGGGACACAGTGATGGAATACTTTCAGGGCCCTACAATACACAGTTGCTTGGCCCCTAACTAAGACTATCCATTGCCATATAAGTACATTACTTCCACAAGTGTGGGGACAAGTTGCTAGGACTCCTACGCCTCAGTGAGTAAGAGGGAAAGGAACCGTGCAACTTGAATGCATCTCCTTCGCAAGGACCGCTATAAAATATGTAAAGGTAAATGTAAAAATAAAGCTAGCCCTGTGACAGACCATGGAGGCCCTTAGGGTTGTAAGACGTCCAGGCTCCCACATTTTCTAGACAATCGGCTCAGAGATGGCGGTAAGGTTGTCAGCCTCACGCACCGGCCGCCCTTTACACCCAGGAAGATTCCTGGTACTCATTTATGTTCGAGGCTGAGTCGATCCTAGGCCCACAATGCGGCTGGAAGGATTACCCCAATTGAAAAATCAAATTACCTTATCGGGAATCGAACCCACGACCTTCCGGCTTGCAGCATAGTGCCTCAACCGACTACGCTAACGTGTTCCCCTGTAAAATATATAACTGTCTTTAATTTGTTGTAAACCGTAGGAAATATTTGTTCTACTTACGTATTATTTTAATATTACTGCTTGTATTCATAGAATTATGGTAATTCTATAACACTCACGTCTATAAGTAGTATATAGTTTAGTAAAGAAGTAAGAACAGTTGATCTAGAACAAGGGTCTCCAAACTACGGCCCGCGGGCCACATCCGGCCCATGATGTGATTTTATCCGGCCCGCGAAATAATTGTGCAGAAATGCGCCAATTGAACTAATTTTCCAATGAGTACTGGTAAAAAAATATTTATTCATAGATTTCAAATTCATTAATTAAGATTGTGTTTAAAATATATTGATATTCCATATTATGTTAATATTAATATTATTCACAATTTTACTAATTCTGGACCGTATACTGCGCGGTATTTCTTCGTACATGTTCGACCTCGATCGGCAGTGTCACTTCGTGGCAATGTTGGTAGCGCGAGCAGTTCGCGTGCACAAGACTTCTTGCAGTTTTGCAGTGTAATTGTAACAGATCATCACCACCGCCGGTGTCGTACTTATTACCATTTTTGTATTTAAGGCTAGTTATGCCCAGTTTTACTCTAACTGTTCCGAGAATTGGTAGCGAGGAATATTGATAAGGCTACCAGAACTTTAGTCCATCGGCCGGCGTGGTACGGCTATCGGTTACCCCTCCCAGCCGACAAAGGATGTTTCCAGAACGTTTCCTAGAGTTATTAATTTCTCATTTTATCCGGCCCGTTGACAGTACTGAATTACCTAATGTGACCCGCGTTTTCGAAAAGTGTGGAGACCCCTGCTAGAAGATCAGAAACTAAAGTAATACGGTATACTCAAGTTTCTTATATATCAGATTTTCTTTTAGCACTTTCTGAATTACATACACTCCATCTTCAAACTTACGTGGTCAAATGTCTCGATATTGATGTCAAAGAAAGAGCCAGCAGAAAATTTCACAGGATCTTGAGCTCGTAATATTATCATATGCAGAAGACGTTTGAACCTGGCCGATTGATCGCACCAATTGCAGTTGTAAGCAGCAGCCTTAACTCGCAGACTCTGAACAAAATATCGTGAGATTAGTTTCAGAGTTTCGAGAATATGATGGAATCAAATGCAGATGCGATATGTTATTAACAACACCGGATGAAACCAAGGACTACATCTTCGTAAGTGAGTTACCTGCTGAATGTGCCTTTCTCCGAGCCAGCATAACAGGAGCGACTGGCTCAGCACACCGATTATACTCATGAAATGTTTCAGGATGGAGAATCCTGAGGCCGCCGTCTGGGACGCGTCCATGTAAAACATAACCAATGTAATGTCACAGCGACAAGAGCTAAGCACATTCCACTGTCACCATGCTGCGTTGCGGACGGAAGAGACCGCTTCCAGCTGGAGAAACTAACTGAGAATACACTGAATAAGCAAGTTAGATTTGCGGTTCTTAGAGCGGTGAACGTAAAGAGTTGTGTCTTCTACTTTATAACGCTGTGTAGTCCGGTGAAAATCAACCGACGTTTCGTAGCAGTATATCGCTTCCATTGTCAGAGTCGAAGAGGACGTTACGCAAGAAACAAACATGCTTCGTATCTACTCCGTGCTACTTTCTTGTTTAGCTTAATATTTAACCCTAAATACCGAAGCTATATAATCCTCTGAAATGTCGGTTGACTCTCACCTGACTACTGGGCGTTACGTCTCAGAAGATATAAATCTGCTGACTAAGCAAAAAGACGACAGGAAATGCTCCTCTGAATCGAGGATTGGGTGGGGGTAACAGCTCCTAGTCATAACAGAAACAGCGTGTTTTGAAGCGTTACACTGGATCCTGGTCTTGGCGGATTCTTGTAAACATTTCGGATTTCATACAAGGCGGGAATTCGTTGGGTATCTTGGCGAATGTCAGCTTCTTGAAAAGAATTCTGGCACATGGAGGCATGCAGTTAGTCATGTTAGTTAAGATGGAAAGCACAAGGGTCTTCGAAACTAGGACACGGGGGTCAGATGGAAAACACGTAGCCACATGGAGACAATATGTATCCAGCTGAACAGAACACAGCGGAACATTCACTTAAATTTACCCAGTTAACGTTGCAAGCAGGAGACTTTTAGAAATAACTCATGAGCCCCACGTTCCCTTGGGTGCTTAAGTCTTGCTGTTGAGACTAACACAAATTCCAGATCAGTAGTTACGATACTTACTAATCAAATTCTGTGCATGGTTTCAACTACTAAAAACTGCAACATCGTCAGATTTGTCAGATACTGCCTCATAGTTTCGCAGTCACCATATTTTACTATTGTTTTATACAGGCTGTGTAAGGGAGACGAGGTAGCGTAGTTGTTTGAGGCGATATGCTATATGCCAGAGGGTACTGGGGTCGATTCCCGATGAGGTCATCAAAATTTTTCAGTTGACCTAATCCTCCCAGCCGCATTATGGTCCTGGGGTCGACTCAATCTCTAACAGAATTGAGTACCAGGAATTTTCCTGAGGGGTAAAGGACAGCCGGCGCGTAAGGCTGACAACTTCACTGCCATCTGTGAACCGATTATCTTGAACATGTGGGAGTCTCGACGTCTCACAACACTATGGGACTCCACGGCCTGCTGCAGGGATAAATTTACTGTTTCATTTTTACCTGACGGTTTTCATCATGATGCTCAGTGCGTCTGGTCGATTTCAGTAATTGAGGTGAGGTCTGTAGGATGTGTATGGGTTAGTAAGACAAAAGCTGTTACGGTGTAAAAATGTCTTCCTGGTGCGTCGCATGTTGACATTCCGAAAATATCTCATGGGAGGTGAGAAGTGACGTATGAAATGTTACGTAAGTGGAAGCTGTTAAGGGAGTTCTAATAGATCTCAAATTGAACCAGAACAGAGTAGCTGAGGCAGACGCTGTATCAGTTAAATCAGTCAGCCGAATTAGACATAAACTTGACGCGATTGAAACTGGTGCATCAACGCCGTTTGCGACACGTCATGAGCTTGTAATCTCCAAAGGCATCATGTGACAATTCAAATGAAGCTGTAGTTCGTCGTTCTACGTCACAGAAATACAGATACCGTCAGGAAAATGCACTGCATGTGAAGTTGAAATAGACAAGACACAGTCAGTGAAGCATCTCGACGTGGAGGAAATTTCTTCATATGTTGGTTTTTCTGTGGAGAATTGCTAAAAAGTGGCGAATGCTGATGGAGCATCATATCGTAAGAACACAGAGGATCACTTCCGAGCTATTCGAGAATATAGGAATGAATGCTGTATAATGTAAATGATTGAAACACATTCGTGGATCACATAAGCAACATTTGACTGGAGTGCCCACAGAGTTCATGGTTTCTTTCTCCTATTTTGAGAAGTAATAATTAGCCGATCACAATGTCCACGCGGTCTAAGGCATGAACAGACTTCGCCCGCCCAAACACTGGGGTCGTGGGTTCGAATTCCGCTCGAGGCATCGATATCTGTGCACGTTTATTCTGTGTTTGTGTTGTTCTGTGTTCAGGTAGCAGAATTGAGACAGGCTGATCTCCCGTCCAAGGAGTCCTACCGAATGTGTATAGATAAGAAACTGAGAAAGCGGCCAAGGTTCAAAGGGCTCTAGATCCNCAAATATGCGAGAGAGGGAGAGAGAGAGAGAGAGAGAGAGAGAGCAAGTAATAATTACAGTAAACGCTGATGATAAGGAAGATTTCATAATAATCTCTAATGTCTCCTTGAAGTCCCATTAGCGTGCAAGCGACTATGATAGCAGAGAGAATTTTAGAAATTTCAAGAAGCAGTTTAAAGAAACTTATTCCGAATTTACTTCCACACAGTATTGCAGCCACAGACACTGTCCCTTCTCGTAACGTCGACGTTGAGCCCTATACCTATATCAGATTCTTGGAAAAGTATAATGAAGAATTGTACCTCCGGGAGGAATGTCACCTTCAAGCTGGATGCAGTCACCTACTCACGCTGGTTCCTCGCTCGCGGATTTCTTATACCCTGAAGATGGAGGAGATATGTTAATCCGAAACATCGGTTAGCACAATATCTACAAGGTGCCACATCCTTAAAGACGGCATTCTTGATAGTAATCGCTGTGAAAACCTCAAATCTTACATAACACTGTGTTGTTCTATTGTGTATATTTGTGTATTTGGTCGTATAAGAGTACTTCAGTTTTGTAAAGTAAGGTAAAAATGTTAATGCGTGAGTCAGCGTTTTATAGCAAGGCCTAAGTTAAAAAGTGACGTCTTTCCTCCCTCCCAGAGTGCAGCTGCAACAGCTGTCCCGCTGCTTCCTGCCATACTTCTCCAAAAACTCAGTCTGTACTTGTACACAAATTTTCAAATTGTTAATCTTCTTCAAACGAAAAAAAGAAATATAAATTTCGGGACGCCGTCATGTTCTTTTTTACATTCTGCTATAAAAATACTTCAGCAAAAGTAACATTTTTTTATCTGTTACCGAAGAATCCATTTTATGTTTTGCTAGTGTTGTCTCCAACTGGGAAGTCCCGAAGGCCACTATGGGGTCTTTATTTTTTGTAGCAACTTAAAATGTTAAATGGTAAAGTGGTTCCTAATGTTTTGATACTATTACCAGTATCTTTAATTACAGATTTCCAGTTTATTTAAATGTTGTTGGAGTGCGGCTGCACTAACGTAATAACATACGGGAAATAAATACCGTCTCTTAAGCTTATAGTAACGAAACCAGTGACAATGAAAGGGAATGCACTTACCAACGCCAACTGAAACACTTCGGCCACTAGAAGCAATTGGTGAATTAGGAGCGCGAAGGCAATCCAAGGGCTTACAATTGAGTTCAGTTCACGGCTGAAGCTGCAAATAAAAAAAAAAAATATTTCCTAAAGTGAATTTCATCACAACGAGAGCAGGCGAAAAAGTAATTGGAATCATTAGGTGTAACTTGCATTTGACAGAAGAAACATGACAACACACTGAGGGGATTCTAGACCCATAGAAAGATAAGGAATAACGAAAACGTAATAAAATCTATGTTAGCTGTTATAACAGTAGCAAGAAACCCCGATAAAACATTGTATCCATGAGGAAAGTACGTGCAAATCTTGGTGAACTCCTGAAATGTGGAAACCGAAAGATATGAGGAAAGACGAATCTAGGAATTAATCTAATATTACCGCAAACAACATGGAAACTTAGAATAAGAGCTACAGAGAAATAATTGTGTAACTGGAACAAATATGTATGTGTGTATATATATGTACATGTTACAAGTGAAAACTAACATAAATAAATAAAATATATGAAACTGTGGCGTATGCAGCTTTTGCTATATAACGATCGCGAGAAATAACATGCGTTGCTTGGTAACGGCCCGTAAACACGTCAGTAATACCCGGGCTATCGTTAAGCAACTGTTCGGTAAACAGGTCCCCGCAGTAACAGATATGCATGCAACAGTCGAGGTATTGTTGAACTATAACAATGGAAACGGTGTTTTCTATGTGGTTCTTGCCGAAATATTACAAGTAGGTTCAGTCGAGTTCCGGAGTTGAAGTAGTCAGAGATGTCATTAGTTCAGGTGAGTGAAGTGACATGAAGTAAGTAGTTGGCGAGCGAGAGAGTTCAGCTGACAGTTGTCAGAAGTCAGCCTGTGTAGAGAACACTAGGAGGTTGGTCTGAAATGGACGCCAGCCTGGGACCCAGTTAGTTGAGTTGTCAGTTAACAAGCGCTCTGCACGGGCGGCTGTGACAAGAGAACCTGAGTGTGGGAAGCTGATGAATCCCACGGCGTTAAATCCGTTTCCAGGAAACGGTTAACGGAGGCTGTAATAGACCGACGACACTAGGCTTTGTGTGTCAGTGATCTGTAAAGTGTAGTTCCGAACGGGGTGTATTCAAGTGGTCAATAAATCCTCTTCAGCCAATAGATAACCCGTCTACAGACACATCCCTAAATAGGCGACAATATATAGGCCTATATGTAAACAAATTGCAAAAATAACGAACAAAACGTTTAGCGTAGCGATCTCTAAACAAGGTGGACAAGCTAGGCCATAACGGCCACCCATACAATAAATATTTCAGTGTCTGAGTTCAGGACGTGAATCGTAAGACAAGTACGTCGTAAAAAAACAATGAAAAATACGAAGCTGGAAGATTGGCCAGGAGGAAACATTTTCTCTACTTGTATGTACAAACACAATAACCAATAAATGAATGCCAGCTGCTTACAATCTACTAAATACAGAAGAAAGTAAAACTCACTCGATTGCATCTTGGTGCTGTTTAATATATTCCACGAGTATGTCCTCTATATCAGAAGAATGAGAGATAAATTCTCTGTCCGAACGAA